CCTATACAAAGACTAAAAGACAGTCATCTAAACAGAACAACGAGATACTCCGTGGTTTAAAATCAGGAAAAGTGTGCAGCAGGGTTGTATCCTTTCCCCATACTTATTCAATCTGTATGCTGAGCAAATAATCCAAGAAGCTGCACTATATGAAGACAAACATGGGATCAGGATTGGAAGAAGATTCATTCACAACATGCAATATGCAGATGACACACCTTGCTTGTTGAAAGTGAAGACTTGAAGCACTTACTGATGAAGATGAAAGACTACAGTCTTCAGTATGGATTATACCTCAACATAAAGAAAACATGAATTTTCACAACTGGGCCAATAAGCAACATCATGATAAACAGAGAAAAGGCTGACGTTGTCAAGGATTTCATTTTACTTGGATCCACAGTCAACGCCCATGGGAGGAGCAGTCAGGAAATCAAACACAAAATGCATTAGGCAAATCTGATCAAAAGACCTCTTTAAAGTGTTAAAACAGCAAAGATGTCACTTTGAAGACTAAGGCGTACGTGACCCAAGCCATGCTATCTTCAATCACATGCATGTGAAAGCTGGACAATGAATAAGGAAGACTGAAGAGGAATTGATGACTTTGAGTGATGGTGTTGGCAAAGAATAGTGAATATACCATGGAGCGCCAAAAGAATAAACAAATCTGTCCTGGAAGAACAGTCAGAATACTCCTTAGAAGCAAGGATGGTGAGCCTTTGTCTCCCGTATTTTGGACATTTTATCAGGAGGCACTAGTCCTTGAAGAAGGGCAATATGCTTGGTAGAGACTCAGAGAGAAAGAGCAAGACTCCTAATGAGAGGGATTGAGACAGTGGCTGCAACAATGGGCTCAAACACAGCAAGGATTGTGCGGATGGTGCAGGACTGGGCAGTGTTTCATTCTTTTGTACACAGAGGTCACTATGAGTTAGAACCAATTTGGCAGGACCTAACAACAAACTATGCGATACACTACACAGCAACAAAAATGAAAGATCTACAATTACATGCAAGAACATCAATGAATTTCACCAAATAAAGTAGTCAGGTAAGACTTTATACTGTATAATTTCCTTTCAATAATGTTTCAAAACAGGCAGCACTAACACAGATCAGGATAGTAGTTATTCTCAAGGGGCATTCACGGCAGTGACTGGAAGGAGACAAAGGGGCTGCTGGCTTCCGGTGAGGTTCAGCTTCTTGATCTGAGCACTGGCTACTGGGTGTGGTCTTGTGAAAAATCAATGAACTGTATGCTTAAGACATGTGCTTTTCTATCTGCATATCTATATATCATACCTTAATAAAAAACAACTTTCACAGAATCTATTTTCTCTGCACTTTCACTTTTCAGGACCTGAAGTATACTTGTTTACATATATAACTAAAACTCTGAATCTTAATTCAGACTCAAAGACCATTCATCTATTTAACTCTAATAAAAACCAAAACAAGTATCTTGAAAAAAAAAACTAGAAGTGCTTCTGTACCAGGGGCAAAATCACCATAAACACACCACGTTGTTGTTGCTGTTGCTGCCACTGAGTGTGCCCGACTTACAGTGACCCCATGCGTCAGAGCCGAACTGCTGCACAGGGTCTTCCGGGCTGTAATCTCCATGGAAGCACTGCCAGACCTTTCTTCCATGGAGCCACTTAGGCTCCTTACACATAAGCACAGCTTAAAGCTAATGTGTGCTTTTAGATCCTATAAAAGTCAACACGACCCTTGTTTGGTCAACTTGGAGTTGTCGCTGACCCAGGACAGAAACTGGCCCTTCAAGAGCCCTGAGCAAGTGGCCATTCAGAAAACACCTGCAGTGCTAGTTCTGCTATAGGACAGCTCTTGTCCATAGTCAGCCAAAACCGAGCTTCCAGCACAACAGAACACAAAATCCCCAGCCTTCAAACACCTGCCACAGAACCCAGTCTGGGAAGGGTCTACCTCCATGGCTAATCATCAAGGTCCTTGAAATGAATGCCGAATTTTGCCTCCACTCCTTTTAACAAGCTGTTCCCTGGACCAGTGGGTATCAACCCAGGTTGTGCAGAACTTACCTGAGGCGCCTAGAAAAAAACTGGTAGGCCGTGAATGTGCGCTGAGGTCTGTAAACCTCTGCTCTGGATTTCTGATTCTCTGCACTCGCTCCACCACTAAGAGCAAACTCAGAAATAGCACTCTTTCTGTCTCTCTAACTCACACTCCACTACACCTGTTCATGGTGCCCCTCAATCCTTCAACAGAGAACACTGCTAGTTTCAATACAGGGTGGCTTCCAGTAGTAGCTTGTCCCTGGATGGTGCAAACAGTTAACATACTAGGCTGCTAATAACCACAAAGAGGTTGGAGGTTCGAGGCCACTCAGTGGCATCTCAGAAGAATGGCCCAGCACCTGTGCCTTAGTTATCTCGTACTGCTGTAACAGAAATACCACAAGTGGGTAGCTTTACAAACAAAAACTTATTCCCTCATAGTTAAGGGCAGAAATCCAAATTCAGGGTGCCAGCTCTAGGGCAGGCTTCCTCTATTGGCTCTGGGGGAAGGTTCTTCATCTTCTTTCAACATCTATGGGCCCAGAGTCCCTTGAAGATCTCCATGTGTCTTGGCATCAATCTTCCCCTGGGTCTAGGAGGTTCTCAGCACATGGACCCTAGGTCCAAAGGACATACACCACTCCTGGCTCTTTTTTCTTGGTGATAGTCTGGTCCCTCGAGCTCTGCTTACCTATTTAATCTCTTTTGTATTTCAAGAGAGACTGACTCAAGATACAACTCAATCCTGTAGGTTGTATCCTACCTCATTAACATAACTGCCTCTTTTCCTACTTCACTAACATCACAGAAATTAGGATTTACAATTAAATTAGGATAATTACATCAGATCTCAAAATGGAGGACAATTACAAAATACTGAGAATCATGGCCTCACTAAGTCGATACATATTTTTCTGGGACACAATGCAATCAGTAATATTCCACCCTTTGGCCCCCAAAATGCATGTCCTTGCCACATGTAAAATATATTCACTCCATGTAGTGTAGTAAATTACATAACAGGGCTTTTCTACCCACAGTCTTTGTGAAGTACATGGTAGAATTTGCCATGAGCAACTGAGTAGCTCCTGATTGTTAAAGTTATCCACCTGGGGTATTTCTGTTGACAGTGGACTGAAGCAGTCTGCTGGGACATTTGCTCTTTCTCAGGTATAGAATTCTGATTTTGGGATTGGTTAGTTTGGTCACTCTGCTAGGCTCAAAAGGAGCCCTCCTAGAGGCAGAAGGAGTCTCTCACTGCCAGCTGGGAGAAACACATTTGCTGAGAGAGAGACGTGAGAGACATTGCTGCTGAGAGACACAAGAGACATGTACTGCTGAGAGAGACACGAGACACATGCACTGTTGAGAGACGCGAGAGACATGCACTTCTAAGAGATGTGTTACTGATAGAGACTGAGAGAAACTGCTGGCTGCTGAATGAGACAGCTGGCTGCAAGAGACAGTGCGTTCCTGAACTTGAATTGCAGCCTGTTGCTTCCCTAGTAAACCCTCATAATCTGTGAGTTCTGTGTGCCCACTGCAGTGAATAATTGAACCCAGCAGGGTGCTGCGGGAGGAATGGTTGGTGTCAGGGTTGGTGAAAGGGCTGGAGGGAGGCAGCATGCCTGGCTTCACAGGAATAGGTCTTGGGCTGCTGATGGTGATTCTGTCCTCCTCCTATGCAGTTAGAGGAGGTCAGAAGAAGCCGCCTCCCTGTCCTTTTGGTACTCCATATCATCCCCAAAGGTCTTAATTCAACTCTAGTCCACAACCTCCTGAGACAAAATTTCTCTTCATCTCTGAATCTGTGAAATCTAGAATACAAGTTACCTGTTTCCAAAGTATGATAGTGAGACATGTACAAGGTAGATATTTCCATTAAAAATGGGAGAAATAACAGGCTTCAAGGAAATCCAAAAACTGAGCAGAACAATTTACATTAGCTCTCAAGGCTTGAAAATAATCCTCTGTTCCCTGAGACCATCTAGGCATTGTTGTTGTTGTTATGTGCTGTCGAGTCAGACCCGACTTATAGCGATCCCTCCTTGGGTTTCCAAGGTGGTATCACTATGGAAATAGATTGCGCAACCTTCCTTCTGAGGAGTGGCTGGTGGGTTTGAACCGCCAGCCTTCTGCTTAGCAGTCAAGTGCCTTAGGTACTACGCTACCAGAGCTCCTGTCTAGGCATCAGGCAGGCCTAATGGGTGGAGGACCCACAACCCTGGGCTTCAGTTCTGCCTTCCAGACCTACTAAGATAGCAACTCAGTTCCCTCAACTCTAGATGGCCCCCTTCTCCTAGTTCATTGAAGTGGCAACCTCATTTCCTCCACCCCAGACAGGTCTTGTTCTTCTGCCCCTTGGGCATGGCAGCCCTGCCCCTTGAGCTCTAGCTAAGGGATCTGGCCCCACCCTCCTGGCACTCATAAATGGCAGCCCCATACTCCAGAATGGAGTTGGTGATGATCTGACTCTTTGAAACCTAGGAGGCTGTGGCCCCACCCTATGAAAACTCCAGATGTCATGGCCCTACCCATTGAGATCAAGACAATTCTGCTTCCCAAGCTCCTTGTCTCTTCAGCTTCAGCTTGCTGGTTCCTTTGCCTCTTGGCCCCTTGGGACTCTGTAGTCTGCCCAGCGTCTGCCTTGCTTGGGCAAGTGTTATACCTCTTTAGCTCTACAACAAGTGCTTCGAGGCACCCAACTCTGCCAGTTAGCCTTGGCCCAAAGACGTTCAACTCTTTTGCTCCATGGATTGGCAAGCCTAGCTTTGTCGACAAGTTCCTGGAGGCACCTCACTCTGCCAGGAAGCCTCCTGCCACAATGCACTCAGCTCTCTTGCTCTGTGGGTCTGTTCTAGTTCTGTCTGGCACCAGTCTCCTGGTTCTGCTGCCTCCATTTCTCTGCTGCTGCTTCTCACCATCAGCAAGCTCTCTGGTGGTATAGCTCTCCTCATTTCCTTCTGAGCCCTCAACAGAATTGCCTCTGACATCCATAATTCCACCAACAGTCTCTTCAAGGCAATTTAGGCTTTTACTATCTAGCATTTTAAACTCTTGACATTACCCAATTCCAAAACTGCTTCCACATTTTAGGTACCATTTAGAGCAGCATACCACTTCTGGTACCAAATTATGTGTTAGGTATCTAAAGCTGCTGTAACAGAAATCCCACAAGTGGCTGGCTTTAACAAACAGAAATTTATACTCTCACAGTTTAGAAGGACAGAAGTCCCAATTCAGGGTGCCAGCTCTAGAGGAAGGCTTTCTTTCTCTGTTCAGTCTGGTAAAGGTCTTTGTTTCCTTTCAACATCCATGGGCCCCATCCCTTGGAGATGTCCATGTGTCTTGGCATCAATCTTTCCCTGGGTCTAGCAGGTTCCCAGCACAGGGACCAATGGTCCAAAGGCTCCACTCCTGGCTCTTTTTTATTGGTGGTAGTCTGGTCCCCTCAATCTCTACTCACTTGTTCAATCTCTTTTATAACTCAAAAGAGACTGACTCAAGATAAAACCTAATAACCTAATCCTGTAGATTGTATCCTGCCTCACTGACGTAACTGTTTCTAATCCTGCCTCATTAACATCATTTGAAAAAAAAAAAACAAACCTCACTGCCATCAAGTTGATTCCAACTCATAGTGACCCCCATTGGGTTTTCTAAGGCAGTAAATCTTTATGGAGTAGATTGCCCAGTCTTCCTTCTGTGGAGTAGCTAGAGGGTTTGAACCACCAACCTTCTGATTAGCAGTCAGATGCCTTAGACACTATGCCACCAGCTCCTCATTAACATCATAGAGGTTAAGATTTATAACACAGAGGATAATTACATCAGATCACAAAATGAAGGATAATTATATAATACTGAGAATCATAGCCTCGCCAAGTTGACACATATTGCTGGGGATACAATTAAATTAAAAACAATCTACTGCCAAAAAATCAGCCATTGAAAATCTTATGGAGCATAGTTCTGATGCATGGGGTTGCCGTGAGTTGGGGCCAATTTGATAGCGGCTAACAACAGTATTAGCTAGACTTTTGCTTGGGGATCTTTTGTGTATTTTAAGTGTATTTTGCTTTTAGCGCAGAAGTTCTAAAACATTTATTCAGCAATAAGTACAAATTGTGATTTTAAAAATTTATAAAGATTAAGATAGATTCAAAGTTATGCATGTTACCCAAAATAATTTATTAGTAGTGCTGGTTCAATAGATCGCTTTGAATGATCCTACACTATGTTTAGAAACAGGTATCAAAGGATTTCTCTTACTCAACAAACTTGTATTTTTGGAACGTGTGAACTAAAAGGACCTTACATATTTCCTTCTCTTCTCTATATCAGATTTTCCTAGGAAGAATTAAATTAATTCTGAATTAGCTCACACTTCAGAGATTCAATTGTATAAAGAAAACTCCCAGCCTTTAAGTCAATTCTGACTCATGGCAGACCATGTGTTACAGAGTGTATGACATAGGGTTCTCCTAACTGTAATCTTCACAGAAGCAAGATTATAATCACCAAGAATCTATAGCATCTGTAACATCTGCTGAAATGTCCACTGAGACCATTAATATCTCCTGAACTGATTTGAATTCAGACTTCCATTAGTGTTTCTTTTTGAACTTACCCTTTTATAATGGCTAAAATGGAATAAATTATCCAAACATTTGCTATTTGATGGTTAAATACTCACCTCTGGATAATTGCTTCATGAATTCTACGATACATGTAGCACTCTACAAACAACCACGGTGAGTAAAACCACCGTGGCTTTCCGTCACTTTCATTCATAAGACTCTGTTGATACTCTAAGTATTGATTCCATATGTCGGTATCAACAAATTTCTCCACCAGAGGGATAATTGGTTTATCTGTTTGCAATTCGTTCCGTAATTTAGAAAGAAGAGAAATAGCTTTCTTTTCAGCTTCTGTGCCTTCCTGTAAAAATGTAAAAATTACATATATATGAATAATTCCACTAGAATGGCACATTTTTATAGACCTAAACTTGGGGGAAAAAAAACACATTTCAAAACTACATTTTATGTCTGTCACAAACCATTATAAACATTTTAGAATCCTGGCGCTGACACGAAGAACACATGCAAATGTCATACGAACAGAACCCCTCCTGATCTACCCTGCCGGTTTTTCTTTCCCTTTTCATCTTATGAATTAGAGCTCTGGGCTTTGCTTCTCTGCAGGTGGGGTGGTCACTTCATAAACTGAAAGCGACCACCTCCCAGGTTCGCCATTTCCTTCCTGCTTCCATATCTTCTTTTACCACCAACGCCACCAGAAAAGCAGGGGCCTTCCTGGGGCTTCTTTTGGCACCTCAGAGTTTTTTATTCCTCGCTTGGCACTGAGCCCCAGTTAGATGGGATGTCCTGACAGGCAAGGCATTATGGTATTATCTCACATGACAGGCCACTGGGGAAGGGACAAATGTTATGGGATCAAAATAAAAGGAAAATGATGATGTAAGAAAAAAAGGGAAAACAGGGTGAAAAAAAAATTTATTTTACACCAGCAAGATTCTTGCCCCACTAAAAGAAAGAAAAAAAAAAAAAAAAGGCAATTTAAGCCTAATGAGACATATACAGAATAAACGTAAGTGATTCAGCCCAACTAAACATTTAAAAAATCAGTTTCGCAATATCGATATTAGCGGAACTCAGTTCCTACTTTCAGACCTGTAATTTCTCAATGCAGACGTTTTGAAAACATCACGCTAAGAGACACAAAAGAACAGATACTGTTACGATCCCACTTGTCAGAAATACCTAGAACAGGCAGATAAATGCAGAGACCACACCAGGAGCACAGTTCAGTTGAGGGAGGTAAGGAGGTATCGCTTAATGGGGACTTATTGCAAGGTTGCTGTCTGGGATAACGAAAAGTCTGTAAATGAATATAGGTGATGGCGGCACACCATGGTGATTTATCAGTGGCCATGGAGTCGATTCCAACTCACAGCAACCACGTGTGCTGCGGAGTAGGACTAAGCTCCACGGGGTTTCCAAGGTTGTGACCCCACAGACGGAGATCACCAGGCCTTTCTTCCACGGAACCTCTGGGTGGGCTCAAGGTGCTAACCTCTCAGTTAGCACTTAAGTGCTTAACCTACGTTCAAACCAGCGAGACGCTGCCACAGAATTTTATACTTAAAAACAGTCAAAATTATAAATTTTATGTTACATATATTTCACCACACTAAGCACACACAAGGAGCTCTGGTAGTATAGTGCCTAAGGCACTTGACTGCTAACCAGAAGGCTGGCGGTTCAAACCCACCAGCCACTCATCGGAAGGAAGGTTGGGCAATCTACTTCCGTAGTGATACAGCCTCAGAAACCCAAGGAGGGGTCACTATAAGTCTGGTCCAATTCGACGGCACATAACAAAGCACACACACACATTCTTACCTCTCCGTGTTTCTCAAAAAATTCATTTTTATGTCGATGCAACGTATCAATAACCTTAGTTAAGATCTGCGGTATTCTGTCTTTAATTGTAAGATATGCAAATGACCTAAAAAAAAAAGAGAGTCACATATATAGTATTACCACTCAGTAGCACAGATGCCAGAAGACGGGTCATCTTTTACCTTCTGGACCACCTCATTTAAATTAAAATTCCTCTCAAAGAGTTATTTTATTTAAACCTGTATTGTGTGACCAATATATTAAGAGAAAGAAAACTTTGAAAACTTCTCCGGTGTATCAAGGAAGCTAAGTAGTTTGTGCTTCTAATCCCAGATTCCCCCCCCCCCGGGGTCATTCTTATTTTTCCCACTGTATTCTTTTTATTATCTCAAATCAGAAACTAGTTTAACAATGTGACAGAACTGGAGAAGGGCTCACCGAGAATACAGAACAGCCTCTGATCCCAGGTCTGTATCTTACTGACTTCACTACTTAGAAAGGACAATGAGGCATTGGATATGAAATTGCCTCATTAAAAGCATATTTAAAACTCTCATGTTGGAGAACACAAAGAAGTCAAGATATTTACGGACCTGCTTCTCTCTTCTCTGTCCGTACTGATGAATGCCACCATCCCCCTCTCCCAATCAAAAAGTTTGCCATTTTCAAAATGACAAAAGCTGGAGATAAAGTTGAGCATACTAGCATAAAAGATCTTCTTGATTTCAGACACACAAAGTCCAAGATTTCCAGAGCATCATCTTATATAGATAATTCAATTTTAAGGATTCAGTTAAAAAAATCAGCTTTATTAGGTTATTAAATTTTATGAAGTTTTTAAAACAGCACACAGAATGTAGGCAATCCGTTCATTAATATTGTCAACTCACAGGACACAAAGTAAAACAAGAAAGTTAACAAGATCATTTAAAAAGAATGCATCTGTCCAAATCCCCTATTCTAATTCTGAGATCATCATACTTACAAAAACTCAAGTATTCTTATTCCAATTTTTAAAACAGAGGGGTGTATTCTGAGTATTTCCTCAAAAGTTTTACTCAAACAGTAGATAGAAAACTTCTAAGGAAAAAAAAAATGGCAACAGCAAGCCCTTTTCTGACTCTAGGGGTTTGAGTATATCAAAAACTATGATCAAAATTTAATTTTTAAAAATCATTAATTCCCTTAGAGCAGGAGAGGGCAGAATCTTTCCAGGGAATGATTGTTAAATCAATGATACTTGAAATTTTTCAAGGCAGCAGATACAAGAGGTGACAGTTCATTTGAGATTGTAGTTTTAATTAAGTATTACTATTTTTCGAACTATTCCATTTCCTCAGAGGCCTGCATCCCTGCAGCGAGGTCCGGGCAGAGGTCTGGATTGGCAGGAGCTTGGGGCCCCCCGCAGCACCCTAAGCAGACACTGACTCCTTATACATGCAGAGCCTGAAAGCCATTGCTCCTTCTCTGGCCTCTTACCCTACTCCCCACCCCGTAAAGTCATTTCCTTTCGAATGTTCTTGTCTTTCGCAATACTTCTGGAGTAAGAACCTATTTCAAATATTAACTTGGCCACTGAATTTATACTAATGAATGTTGCATTATTTTTACGGTCGTCCAGAGCTTTACGTAGAATCTGTAACAGACATTTTTTTATTGTAGGGCTATTAATTGAATACATTAATATGATCAGCAATAGGAAGAAACACATTCCTGGAGAGATCTGAGATTCTCAACTTTTATACAGAGAATTTCAGCTCCCCAAACGTGAGTTCATTAAAGCAAATAAAACACGGTTAAAGCCAGGCTCTGCAAAACCACGAAAGGGCGCAAAGGAGGTATGCGGAAATTTACCAAAATAAATAAATAAATAAATAAAAACCCGGCAGAATCGAAATTATGATAGAAACAACTAAACAACTATTGTTCAACACAAATTAATATAAACTTATTAAAATGTCGAAATGATCAGCATATGGGGGGCTAACTAGAGAGTTTTTAAGCTGGGGCGCAGTCCGTTCTCACGTAGTCAGGGCTGCAACTTGGAAGAGGCCACGAATCATTGCAAGGATGAGCCTGCAGGTGGCCAGTCTGGACCCAAGTAGCCGCAGCGGCCACTGACTCCCAGGAGCTGCCTCGATCTCGCCTCCACGCAAGTCTGCGAAACCCGAGAAGCCACCCTGAGAAGCCGGGCCAGCGCGGCTCCCCCGCTCGTTACCCACAAGCTCCTGGCGAGGCCCGGCTTTCCGCAAAGTGGAAAACAGAAAACGAGAGGAGGGACTGGGCGAGGAAAGCGAGACGAACCCTACGTCCTGTCCCGAAAGAGACTCCGGAGACCCCGCCATCACCTTGCAAGCTCCCGGCCCCAACGGTCGGGTCTCACCGGCTGCGGAAGATAGGCGGTGCGGACGCGAAGGAGGAGCGGAGAAGGGGAGTGGCGTGAGTTTAAAAAAAAATGCTTTTGAATGAGGGAAACTTTATTCGAGGTCCTAAATGGATCAAACAACCGCTAGCTGGACAACGTGGGGATCTTCCGGGGAAGTAGGCGGGAACAGCGGAACCAGAAGCGTAAACGGATAAGGAAGCGAGAGGAAGGCGGAAGCCAGCTGGGCCCGGAGGCCCCAGGGATTAAGGAGCGGAAAAAGGGTCTCAGCGGGTGGTCACGTGGTTGGGCGGTCACGTGGACGGGGCGGCTCACTCGCAGCCGGGCCCGGAGTTCTCTGCGCCTGCGCGGTAGGGTGCTGGGCGGAGCATCTTTCCCCGAGTGGGGTTGGTGTAGGGGAGGGATATCCTGCGGCTGCAAGTCTTGTCTCTTCCTCTGCAGTCTGGCTGCGGAATCTTGCTCCCTTAGCGCGTTCCTCTTCTCCCGACCGAGAGGTTAGTGCACTGCCTTTCCCTAGCAGCTTGTGTGCTCCGGGACACAGGTCTCCTTTGTTCCTGGCCTCCCTAAGTAAGCCTCTGGCGTGACAGGTTCATTTGTACCGCTATGGCCGCCTCCCTGCCTCTGACAATGATCTTTGGTCTACTTAGCTGGGAGTAAAAAGCACTCAATCAATAAAGACTTAGTGAACCCTTTTCTGAGCCAGTGAATAGCGGTAAATGCGAACATAAAATAATTTTAAGCGTAAGAACCTTAAAGGCATGTTTCAAAAATTAGTGCTACAGATCCATTGATTGGTTTCATGACATTTTCTTGATTCGATTATCCGCAAAAAGCTGAACATATGCCCAAGAACTGAGCAGCTACCTTGTATTTCATTCAAAAAATATCAGTTGCGTGCCTACTGTGTGCCAGCAGCTATTGTAGTCATAGAAGTACAGCATGAACAAAACGGACAAAATCTATCCGAGAGGAGCAAAGACAAAAAGCTCCTATTCTTTCCTCTTCTATGTTTTCCCTTTTGCATCTGTCACTAACAGATCTTTAGGCATCCTGGTGACGCAGTGGTTAAAGCGCTCAACTGCAAATGGAAAGGTCTTCGTGTGGTGGTCGGTTTCCATAAAGATTTACAGCCTTGGAAACCCTGTGGGGCAGTTCTACTCTGTCCTATAGTGTTGCTTGTTAGGTGCCGTTGAGTCCGCCCCGACTCATGGCGACCCCTCCTTGGGTTTCCGAGGCAGTATCACTATGGAAGTAGATTGCCCAGCCTTCCTTCGGAGGAGTGGCTGGTGGGTTTGAACCGCCAGCCTTCTGGTTAGCAGTCAAGTACCTTAGGCACTATGCTACCAGAGCTTCTATAGTGTCACTGTGAGTCAGAATTGACTCCAAGGCAGTGGGTTTGGGTTTATGGAATACATGTTTTATTGATTTACCATATTTATTGTTGGTCATCCTCAATGTAAGGGCCAAAAGATCGGGACTTTTGTCTATTTTATTTGCAAGTGCATTATCAGTAACTAGGAAAAGGCCTGCCACAGAGTTGGAACTCAGTTCATGTTTGTTGTATGACTTAATAAAAATGAAAGCAATAAAAGTGATGCTAAGTATACAAATGGAGAAATATAAAGTGGAGAAAGAGTGGGTGCAGGTTGTACATGTTAAATGAGGTGGTTGGGGAAGGTTTCACGGAGTAGGAGACACTTGAGCAAAAACCTGAAGGAGGGTGAGGGAGTGAGCCCTTCAGGTACCTGGGAGAAGAGCCTGGGAACAGTTAATGCAAAGATCTGGAGGCCCAAGTGGCTGGAACAAAGTCAGCAAGAGAAGGAATTGGAGAAGATGTCAGATTGGTGATCATGGGCCAGAGAAGGTAGGGCTGTCTATGCCGTTTGAAAGACTTTGGTTTTTGTTGTTGTTGTGTGCCGTCCACTGGGACCCGACTCATAGAGACCCCTCCTTGGGTTTCCCAGGCAGTATCACTATGGAAGTAGATTGCCCAACCGTCCTTCCGAAGAGTGTCTGGTGGGTTTGAACTGCCAGCCTTCTGGTGAGCAGTCAAGTGCCTTAGGTACTATGCTACCAGAGCTTAGTATGAGTAAAATGTGAGGCCATTGTCAAGTTTTGAGCAGAGAAATGACTTAGGTTTTCAAGGGCTCGCTTTGGATGTTGTAGTGAGAAGAACCCGTAAGAGGCCAAGAACAGAAGCAGGGAGACCAGTTAGGAGACCGTTACAGTGATCTGTGGGAAAGATGCCTGCGGTGGTAGCAGTATTGGTGGTGAGAACTGAATAAAACCCATAGGATTTGCTAACAGATTGGAGCTGGGGAATGAGAAGTCAGGGCTGACTTCAGGCTTTTGAGTTTAGCAAATATAAGGATGTAGTTGCCATTTCATAAATGGGTAAGGCTGAGAAGACTAGGTATTGTGGAAAGATTTCAGAAGCTCAGCTGTGAGCACGTTACACTTTGTTGCTTGTTAGAGTGGATGAGAGATGAATATTTGATAGTCATCACTGTATAGATGGTACATAAAACTGAGAGTACCGAGAGCCTGAGACTCTTGAAGAAAAGAGCAGGGCTTTAAACCAGTTTGTTCCAGTTTGACCCCCTGCTGAGAATTTGCCTTCCCACCCTAGATGTAAACCTACCCATTGTCTGACTTATAAAAAAATCAAAACCAAACTCACTGCCGGTTTCCAGGGGAAGCATGGAAGTAGATTCCCCAATCTTCCTTTTGAGGAGTGGCTGCTTGGTTTGAACCGCCAGCCTTCTGATTAGCAGTCA